CCCCAAAACCCCAAAACCCCAAAACCCCAAAACCCCTTTTAAAGAAAAATTCATTGAATTTATTATAAATAAAGTTAAATAAATATGAAACGGAAGAAACTTTCGGAAAAAGCTTCCTTCTTTGGAGAGGGAAGCTTTGATCCGCCTGATGATGCTCAGAGGAAGGAATCATATTTTGCTAAGGCTTTGAAGCCTAAATTGATGCTGTTCTTGACTACTCTTTGTTGTTTCTTAGCAACAGGTTCAGCAGAAAAAGTTGAATGTTCAGCTGGATATTATTGTGTACAAGGTGTAGAATATGACTGCCCTGAAGGGTTTTTTAGTAGAGATAGAGAGGTAGACTGCACAATTTGCCCACACGGTAAGAAACTGATCCTTAATTCAAGTTTTTCTAATTTCTCAATCTAGGATACGCATGCCAAAATCCTGCTGAAGAGCCAATCAAATGTGAAGAAGGATACTTTACCCAAGGAGGTTCCACTAAATGTGAAAAGTGCACAGCTGGTAAGATTTTAGAAATCTAACTATTTTAGGATATACTTGTACACTTGTTGGAAATGTAACTCTTGTCGAACTTTGCCCAGGTGGAACATATTCTTTGGAAGGTGGTAACGTTTGACTCCCAAGCCCCAAAGGATACATGATAACTAGTCCTTCAAGCAAGCCTGAAGAATGTACAGATGGGTACTATTCTACAAATGAAAATGCAACGTAAGATTTTTATTTTAGCTTCACCATGACATTTCCGTTACAGATCCTGCCATCTTTGCCCAAGAGGACATCAATGTAAAAACAAGGCACAAGAGCCAGTTATTTGTGAAGAAGGAACTTACTCAGGACCTGGATCTATGAAATGCGAACCTTGCCCTATTGGCTACAGATGAGAGGAAGGATGTGGAAACCCAACCATTTGTGATAAAGACGATCATGATTGCCACCACCCAACTCAGAGAAGAGGACTTGCCACCAGCTGTAGCGCAGGCTATTACTGGGATGGAGTTGACACTTGTTTGAATTGTCCCGAAGGATACAGATGCACTGGAGGTACTAATGCACCAGTCGCTTGTGGTGCAGGCCAATACTCAGGATTCAACCAAGGAAGCGGAGCATGTACAACTTGTTCTGGAAACAATATTTGCCCAACAAAGAGAGCTTCAGATGTTTATTCTTGCCAGAGTGGTTTTGTGAAGACAAACAATTTGTATTGTAAACCTTGCCCAGAAGGTTACAGATGCGATGGAAGTGATACTCCTGTTATATGTACTGATGGAACTAATTACTCTTATGGAGGAGTTGTGAGCACTTGTACTGGTTGTCCTACCGGACATGAATGTCACCCAAAAGGATATATTCATTGTACTGATGGATTCTACATCAACTCAGGAACTTGTACTAAATGACCCAAAGGTTCCTACTGTCAAAGTAATGCAAGGACTCTATGTCCTGCTGGTACTTATCAGCCGTTTGATGGGTTTACCCATTGATTATAGACTGTCCTGTTCAAACAGAATGCCCTGGTGCCGGGAGAACTACTTATAACGATTGTACTCTAAACAATGCATGGGCTGCTCCCAAAAGTTCTTCTTGTACAACTTGTGAAGTTGATCATGAATGTTTTGTTGGCTATTCGGTTGAATGCCCTTCCACTCATTTCTCTACTTCAGGTGATTTTGAATGCCATCCTTGCCCAGAAGGAAAATACTGTAATAGTCCTCGTACAAGTCAAGGTGATTGTGCTACAGGACAATACTCACCAGCTGGATCTGTTAAATGCTATACATGCCCACAAGGTCATTTCTGTCCAAACAAAGGAATGAGCAAGCCGATTCCATGCCCGGCTGGTCAGTATCAAGGATCTACAAATCAACAGTCTTGTAGTACATGTGCTGATGGAACTTATTCTAACATCCCAGGTAGTGTCAGCTGCCAGACTCTTCCTGCAGGACATTATTCTAATTCTGAAAGAAGTGCAAGTAATCCATGTCCTAAAGGTACTACACCTGCTGGTAATAAGAGAAGCTGTGTTGCATGTTCAGCCGGATCTCTATGTGGAATTGCAGAAGCATCAGGTTCAGGAACTCATTCTAAATGCCCTGTAGGATATTACTGCCCAATTGTATCTTCAACTATTGTTCTAAGACCATGCCCTGCAGGAAAATACGGAACTGCTCAAGGTGCTGCAACTGAAGGAGCTGGATGTTCAGACTGTTCTCCCGGATACTATTGTCCAGGAGGTGCTGCAGTTCCAATCTCATGTCCTGAAGGAGCATACTGTGGATCTGGAGCTAGTACTCCAACTCTCTGTGGAACTGGAAAATATAACAAGTTTAAAGGAAAAAGTCTAATTAGTGATTGCTTATCTTGTGTTGATGGACAATATTGCCCAGCAGGAACAGATTTCCCATTAGATTGTCCTGCAGGTATGCACTGTGCAGCTGGGGCAATAGCTGGAACTGAATGCAATGCTGGAACCTATCTCCCAGTGAATAATATTCCTGATAATCCCTCTAAAGCTCAATCAGATTGCCAAGCCTGTCCGGTGGGTCATTATTGCTTACAAGGAGCCTCTAATCCTACTCCATGCCCACCAGGAAGATATAGGGCATCTACTGGAGGAACACAGTTGACTGATTGTGCAGAATGCCCTCAAGGAAATGCTTGCCCATTTGCAGGAATTTCTGATGTAAGATCTGTAGTGAAATGTGATTATGGACATTACTGTCCTCAAGGATCAATTTACCCTCACACAAACAAATGCCCTGCTGGAAAATTCTCTGATTCTACAAGTCTTAGTGCTTCATCAGGCTGCGGCAATTGTCCTGCTGGCTATTTCTGTACTGAAGGTTCAAACAGTTTCACTAATCCTCCTACTATTTGCCCTGCAGGATTTTTCTGTCCTCAAGATAGTACTCTAGGAACTACAAATCCTTGCCCAGCTGGTACTTATTCAACAAATACTGGATTAACAGTTAACACAGAATGCACAGATTGTCCAGCTGGTTCGTATTGTGCAGGTGGACTCACAGCAGTTTCTGGATTATGTGGGGCTGGTTACTGGTGTCCCGTTAAATCTAGTGCTTCCACACAAAATGCTTGTCCTAAAGGCACATACTCAGCAGGAACAGGCTTAAAGACTGAAAATGAATGCACAGTTTGCCCTCTTGGGTACATTTGTAGCTCTACAGCAATGACAGCTCCAGTGAAATGCCCAGCAGGAACATATGGGGCAACAGCAGGACTTGATGGAACAACTACAGCAAAAAGTTGCACTCAATGCCCAGAAGGATATTTCTGTGCTGAAGGAGTGACTTCTCCAACTGCTTGTGGAAAGGGAAAATATTCTGTTGCTGGTTCGAAAGATACAGGATCTCCAGTCTGTGAAAAGTGCCCAACAGGATTTTATTGTGCAAAAGAAGCAACAACTCCAGCTGATAGAACTGCTTGTGCAGCTGGATTCATTTGAGATAAAGCAGGCACAGTTGGAGTAGCTGAAGTTCCATTCCACCCAGATTATTCATGCCCTGCAGGTCAGTATTGTTTGGCAGGAGCTACTGCAGGAACTAAATGTGCAAAAGGAACATATAATCCATCTGCAGGAAAGGGAACATCTTCAGATTGTATTCAGGTTCCAGCTGGTTTTTATGCTGATACTGAAGGAACTTCTTCTATTACATCTAATGTTTGCCCAGCTGGTTACTACTGTCTTGCTGGAGCTCAAGATGCCAAAACTAACCCCTGTCCAGCTGGAAAATACAGAGGATTGACAGGAGGGCAAGCTGCTGCAGATTGTGCTACTTGCCCTACAGGATATTATTGTGGAGAGAATACAGTTACACCAGTCGAATGCCCTCAAGGTTACTATTGTGGAAATGGAGTATCTGAACCTACAAAATGACCAAAAGGATATTATGGAGCTGACGCTAGACTAAGAGCTGTTGGAGATTGTACTATATGTCCACAAGGAAGATATTGCTCTCAAGCTGGGCTTTCCGAACCAGATGGACTTTGTGACCCAGGATTTACTTGTGGTTCTGGAAGTACTTCCCCTGCTCCACCTACTAGAAGAAATTTACAAACATCAAGTGGAGTATGTCCAGCAGGAGGTTATTGTGAACAAGGATCTAAATATGCAACTAGATGCCCTCCAGGAACTTTTAATGATCTTCCAGGACAAGATGAAGCAAGTGACTGTAAAGATTGTACTGATGGTCATTATTGTGTTGGTACTACTGATGCATCAACCTCTGGACAATGTAATGCAGGATATTATTGTAATAATAAAGCGACAGCTCCAACACAAAATTATGCTGATCAAGGAAAATATGCTGTTGCTGGATCTTCAACAGATACCCTATGTGCTATTGGAACCTATAATCCATTCTTTGCCCAGAGCTCATGTTTACCGTGCAAAGCTGGATATTATTGCCCAACAACTGGAATGAAAGTGATGACCGAATGTCCTACAGGTCATTATTGCCTTGCTGCTGCATCTTCAACTACTCAATGCCCTGCTGGTACTTTTAATAATGTGGTAAAAGCAACTCAATCTTCTGATTGTATTGACTGTCTCCCTGGAAAATATTGTCTCATTGGGTCCTCAACTCCAACTGGAGACTGTACTGCAGGATATTTCTGTAAAAAGTCTGCTCAGGTTGCTGCTCCATCTACTACAACAGCTAACTATGGAGTTTGTCCAGCTGGACATTATTGTCCGACAGGGACTGGGGATCCTATCCAATGCCCTCCTGGTACATACAATTCTTTAACTCAGAGAACAGCTATTTCTCATTGCTTAGCTTGCCCACAAGGGAGATACTGTGAAACTCCAGGGCTGACTACAAATGGTAGCCCATGCCCAGCTGGGTATCTTTGCCCACAAGGAACAAAAGTAAAATTCCCATCAACCTTCTGTGGGGTAGGACAGAGATGCCCTGAAGGTTCCTACACAGCGACTGAATGCCCTAATGGATACTATCAAAATGCTCCAAGACAAGGAATTTGTAGACAATGCCCAAAAGGTTACATATGCCCACAAGGGACAGGAGCTAAAGGAGCCACTGCATTTTCTGCTGCACCTTGCTCAGCAGGTAAATATTGCGTCGCTGGATCTTGGACGGAGCAAGACTGTCCTCAAGGAACTTACAGTCCGGCTACAAAGAAAGGTGCTGCTTCTGAATGCATTGATTGCGATCCAGGAAGTTATTGTGATACTGCAGGTATTACAGCAGTCAGTGGACAATGCACTGCAGGTTACTTCTGTACACTTAAATCAACAACTGCTACTCCTGCCACACTAACTGCAACAGGAGGACCATGCACTGTTGGGCACTATTGTCCTACCGGATCAACTGTAGAGCTGCCCTGTCCTCCTAAAAGGTATTGCTCAGCTGTTAGACTTCCTGCTTCTGAAGGAGATTGTGATGCCGGTTATTTCTGTAGTGGAGGAGCAGTCAAGAAAAATCCAGCTAATGCTGCCGAAGGAGGTGGACCATGCCCTGTAGGCCATTACTGCCCAGTTGGGACATCTAGCCCTATTCCTTGCTCTCCAGGAACTTTTAATCCAAGCACAGGAGGATCAGCTCCAGGTAATTGCCAAGCCTGTACTTCAGGAAAATATTGTGAATCTTTCGGAGGAAGTGCAGTTACAGGGGATTGTGCAGCCGGATATTATTGACCATCAGGTAGTACCGTAGCAAAGCAAAACATTTGCCCAGCCGGAAGTAAGTGCCCAGCAGGAGCCTCTGCTGCTACTGCATGTACTGATCCAGAATATCAAGATATAAAAGGTCAGGCAACATGTAAAACTTGTGGAGCTGGATATGAATGTACATCAACAGCAAGAACCTTATGCAGGCCGGATCAATCTCCTCTAAGTTACTATTGCCCAGATAATTCTTATTCAAGAGTAATGTGCCCAGATGGTACCTTCACTAACATTATTGGGGCTGAAACTACAGCTGATTGAGTAAATTGCCCTCCAGGATATTACTGCCCGAATTCTGCTTCATTATCTAAAATTGTCGAATGTCCTTCAGGATTTTACTGCGATGGAAAGGCGCATAAAGCTGATCAGACAGGAGCGAATACGTATAAATGTACCGATGGCCATTACTGTCCAAGTGGATCAAGTAGTCCGGTTCCATGTACCCCAGGAAAATATTGCTCGGGACTAAGTTTGCAAGCACCTTCTGGAGATTGTACACAAGGATACTACTGTCTTGAAGGTTCAAATACAGCTACACCAACTGATGGGGTAGTGGGAAATCAGTGCCCTGCAGGATCATACTGCCCAGCAGGCTCATCAATAAACATTGAATGCCCAATAGGAACATATAATCCAAATGCTGGAAGTCACCTATCGACAAGTTGTGTACAATGTGATACTGGTAAAACTTGTAAAGGAAGAGGACTCTCTGCGCCTGGAACTAACTGCCCTGCTGGTTACTATTGCACACAGAATCCATTTGAACAAAAGGCTTGTGAAGAAGGAAACTATTGCCCAGCAGGAGTTGATGCTCAGCAAAAATGTGGTTCTGGAACTTACAACCCTTATACCCTTCAGTATACCTGTTTAGCTTGTCCAGCAGGATATTATTGTCCCCAATCTGATACAACGACTAAGTTCATTTGCCCAGTGGGAAATTATTGTCCAGCAAACAGCGCTGCCGCTACTCCATGTGAAGCTGGTAGATATGGCCCAAGACAAGGATTAGCTGCAAATACTGATTGAGAGTTGTGCCCTCATGGAAAGTATTGTGGGTCTACAGGATTATCATCTCCCGGATCCGATTGTACTGCTGGATCATATTGCATCAGAGGAGCTACTAGTGCAACTCAAGCTGCTTGCCCAAAAGGTCATTACTGCCCTCAAGGAACATATACTCCAATTCATTGCCCTCCAGGAACTTACAATGATCAAACAGGAGGAACAACTATTGCTAATTGTAAAGCTTGTACAACTGGGAAATTCTGCCCTGATATAGCAATGGAAGCAGCTCCAACAGCAGCAAATAGAGATTGTGCTCCAGGGTATCAATGTAACACTGGAGCAAGAACTCAATATCCATTGGATGGAGTCACAGGTAAACTTTGCGATTACGGAAACACATGTGCCATTTGCCCAAGCGGTAGTTACAATGCTAAGAAGGGAATTCCTGGATGTGTGAACTGCCCAAAAGGATATTATTGAGATAAATCTATTAGTGAGACTCAGTACTATATTTGTCCAGCTGGAAGCTATTGTCCTGAAGGAGATACCACCAACGATGTAGTTAACAAGATACCATGTCCTGCTGGAACTTATAGCTCTAAGACTGGCCTACACATGTCGAGTCAATGTACTCCATGCGACCCAGGAAAATACTGCAGTCAGGGAGCAACTTCGGTCAGTGGAAATTGTCAATCTGGATATGTTTGCCCAAGAGGAGCTGATAGAGCAGACCCAACAGGAACTTTCGGATTCGACCCAGCTGTTACATCAACCTACAACAAGCCTGGACCTTGCCCAATTGGTCACTACTGCCCACAAGCAAGCTCATACCCAATTCCATGCAGAGAAGGTACCTATCAAGATCAGACTGGACAGGCAACCTGTAAAGACTGTCCTGCTGGAAATTATTGTGATGAAACTGGAATTCATACGACAACACTACTTAATTCAAAACAATGTGCCCCTGGTCACTTCTGTTCTGGAGGAACTAAAGTCGAAAAACCAATCAGAACAACTCATAGCGGAAGCATTTGTTCTTCAGGAAAATATTGTCCTCTCGGAACTGCAACTGAACTTTCCTGCCCAGGAGGATATTATGACAAGAGAAAAGGAATCAGTCAGTGCATGACATGTCCAAAGGGATATTACTGCCCAGCAGGAAGCACTGTGCCAATTGTTTGCCCTGCAGGCCAATACTGTACAGCTGGAGTTTCAGCAGGAGTTAATTGTCCCGATGGCACTTATAACACAGAAGATGGATTAGAAGAGTCAACCCAATGCAGACCATGCCCTGTCAGTAAATACTGTACTGCAGGAGCAATCCAAGGAGCATGCGACTCTGGATATTGGTGCGATAGTGGAGCAAAATCTGCCACAGACACAACGAAGAAATGCCCAAGTAATCATTATTGCGAATCTGGAACATCTGCACCTGTGAGATGTGAAGCTGGAAAGATTTTCCAAGGAACTGGTGGTACTTCCCCAGCAAACTGTACTGACTGCCCTGCAGGAAAATACTGTCCTGAAACTAATAACGGAGTCCCAGTTGATTGTCCAGCAGGGCATTACTGCGCTGCAGGACAGACAGATCCAACTGCCTGTCCAACTGGTAAATTCAGAGCCGCTACACAAGCCACACAACTATCAGATTGCTTGGACTGTAATCCAGGAACTCTATGTAATGTTGAAGGAGTCGGAGTTGAAGCTAATTTCAAATGTCCTGTTGGTAATTACTGTGTAGCAGGAAGTAGGAATGCAGAAAAATGCCCTGGAGGAACTTATAGAAACGATGTAGGTGCAGGAGCACTAAGTGATTGCCATCAATGCCCAGGTGGATTTTACTGTCCTACGGGAAATAATATTAACCCTATTATCTGCCCTTCAAAAACTTATTGTCCCGCAGGTTCAAGCAGTACTACAGTGTGCCCGGCTGGAAAATACTGCCCTCCTCAAACTACCACACCAGTTGATTGTCCAGTTGCATACTACTGACCTCAAGGAGTTGACGAATATATTAAATGCGCCAACGGAACTTACTGTGAACTGAATTCTCCTACACCAACTCTATGTCCAAATGGTACATTTGGTAATGGAAACCCAAATAACTATAATTCTGCTGTTTCTTGCGTACCATGTACTGCAGGTACTTATTCTACCACAGATCAACCAGGATTCTGCTTCCCATGTCCAGCTGGATATGTTTGCTTAGGAAGGACTACCACTCCAGCTCCTCAAGATAGAGCTACTGATAATGGATATCCATGTCCTCGAGGATATTACTGCCCAGAGGGCTCAACGAAGGAAATAGCGTGTCCTGTTGGAACTTATACTGATGTGTTCAGTACAAATTCTCTGGCAGATTGTAAGAAGTGAGCAGCTGGCACATATAATGACTTAGTCGGACAGAGCGGATGTATTAAATGTAGTGCAACAGCAACATCACCTATTGGAGCAACTGAATGTACTTGTATCGGTGTAGGAAGAGATTACTGTAAAGGTACTGGAGAATGCCTCTGCGGACAAGGATATTCCCCAGCAGACGGAAGAGCCAATACAAATTCAGAATATAACTGTCAATTAGATACAGAAGTTCAATGTCCTCAAGGGCAAATTCCGAACATTGATAGGACTAGTTGTATGACTGAAGCTGCTTATTGTGCACTTGAATGTACAGGAATTGGAGATGGAACAGGTACTTATATAGAGTCTGTTGGTAAATGTGAATGCTCAACCGTTGGAGATTATGATTCTGGATGTGCTGCTGCCTCTTGTACAACTAATAAGTACATTGAATATGATTGCGATGGTAAAACTACAGTTTATAACTCTGACGGAACTGTTGCTACAAGCTCATATGATCCTTCAACTATCTCAGGAGTTTATGGAGATTTCAAATGTACTAGAAGCGATTGTAAATGTACTACTTCTTCATTGACAGTTTCTGGAGATAGATTTGTTTATGATTTCCAAGAAAGTAAAGTAGCTCAGAGAATTTTGAGAAACTTAGGAATTCCTACAAAGAGAAGACTAGAAGGTAGAGATCTTGCAACTACTACAACTATTACAAATCCAATCACATGTGTTACTGCAGGAAACATGGTAGAATTTAATGTAGACTCAACTACAAAGTCTTACCCAGTTTACATGAAAGATTCTCTTCTGAATACCAACTCAAAATTCGATTATGCTGGATTCTTGAACCTAGCTACAACTATCGAAGGTGGAACTGCAACTGTATCAACTTACGTGCACACCTTTGATACTGAAGGCACTTACGTATTCATGAACTCATTGAATAACTATATGCAGACAATTATCCGTGTTGTATCCACCACCTCATCATGTGCCTCAACCACAAGTGTTAGTGCTGCTACTCTGGCTTCTCTATACTCTCTGAACCTCAGCACCACCAGCGAGACTAAAACAGTCGATATGACTTTCTTCATTAGAGTAATCGCCACCAAGATTGGTCTCTTAGTCCTTCTAGTAGGATTTGTAACGTACATGCATTCTCTCGACAAGAACTGGACATTCTTGCCATTCCTCAGAAAGAAGAAAGAAGAGGAAGAAGAAATGGAGAAAAGAAAGAGAGCAAAGCAACAAGAGAAGAAGGTTAGACTCAAGGCTGATGAACTTAAAGATATCAGAGATGATCTTGCTGCTCATGTTGAAAAACTCAAAAGAAGAATTGAAGAACTCGAGAGAGAAAGAGCTCAAAAGGATTCAGGAGATAGGAGATCCCAGATTAATAATAAACTACTCATTGAGCTTAGGAACATCAGAAAAGAGTTGAAGAAGAAAGCAAAGGTTATTAGGAATGAAAATGGACATGATTTCGAGAAAGATAAGCAAAACATGAAGATTCAGAAGACTTTCTCAAAGCCAGTTGATGATCCATCTCTTTTAGCAAGAAAGAGATTTGAGAAAGACAAGGAAGATGAGAGAAAATATGATCTCCCTGAAGACCTGAGAAATCAGATCGATGAAGATGTTGAAAACAGAGAGTTCCAGAGACTTGACAAAGCTCAAGAAGACAACAGACAGCAAGTCTCAAACTATCTTGATGAAGAGAGGAAGAAGCTAGAGGATCGTCTTAGAAGTGAAGGAAAGCTAAGTGAGTCTGAGATTGAGAATATTCTGAACGACTATGACATGCACACTAGAGATATGGCCTTGATTTTACAAGAAGATGAAAGGAGACAACAAGAGAATTTCAAGCGCCAACTTGAGGCTAGAAAGAACAGAAGGAAGAAGATCTTCAACGATATTGACAAACTCAAGATAGAGAGAGCTCAAGCTAAAGAGGTCGAAGCTAAAGAACTTGAAGAACACTTTAAGAAGATGCAAGAGAAAGAGAATTATGTTATCGGAAAGATCTTAGTCGATGAAGAAAAAGAAATGAGAAAAGACCTTGATGGTGAACTAGAAAACAAGAAAAAGAATAGACTCAAGAATTATGTCGATAAAATGAAGAGGACTAAAGATAAAGATGAATTCAAGAAGGTCTTAGATGAATATAATGACAAGCTCAAGACAGTTGAAGATGAACTTCAGAATGAACGCAAACGTGCTCTTATGGAAATCGAGAGGAAAATGGCAGAGAGAAAGAAGAGGGAGAGAGAAAAGATCGCACAAATGAAACCAGAAGAGTCTTCAGTTGACATTAAGGGCATTGAAGATAAGATTCAAGTTAAAATGGACTTGCTCAAGAAGGAAGCTGATGATGAAGCTGCCGCTATGTTGGAAGAAGAAAGAAGGAAGAGAAATATTTCTCAAGAACTTGCAATGCTAAGAAAGCAGAATGATGAACAAGTTAAACATTTGAGAGATCTTAACCAACAGAAATATGAAGACTTCTGCAGAGAGCTCAATGCTAAATATGACGAAGAAAAACTTGGAAGGCTTATTGACCTTAATGCTGGATCTGATGGTCTTCAAGCAATGAGAGAAGAACTTGCTGATTCTGTTAGTCTCCTAAAGCATTCAAGCGATCCTGAAGAGAAGAAAGAGTTGACCTATAAGATTAATGATCTTAGAGAAAGGATTAAGCAAACTAAGAAGGACGGTAAAGAAGATGAGAAGATTAAGAAGAACAACCAACTTATGCAAGAAAGAGCTAAGATGATTGCTGAAAAGGAGAAGAAGAGAAAGGAATTCAGATGGAACCAATTCCAAGAAGAAGAGAAAGAACGTGAAAAGCTAAGAGCTCTTGAAAGAGAAGATTGGTTGAGAAGAGAAAAGGAAGCTGTTGATGCCGTTGTTGATAAGTATATGACTGCTGGTGATATGCAAGGACTTGCAGAAGTACTTGATCAGGCATATGGTGCAGGATCAAAGATCTATGCAGAGAGACTACTTGATCTGAACAATAAGCTGCAAGAGCAGAAGACAAGAAGGATGAAATATAACTTCAACAATAACTTGGATCAAAAGATTCATGATATTGAGGAACTCAATAGAGTTATGACTCCACAACTAGAAAGGCTTAATGCTAAGAAGAACTTAATCTCTGAAGATGACTACAAGAGTCAACTCAAGGATCTCATGATGAAGGAAAATGAAAAGAGAGCTGAGATAGAAGCATTAGCTGCTAGTAGAGAACAAGATTCCCAGTCTAAGACCATGATAGACTTTGTTGAAATGCAAAAAGATCTTATTGATGGTCTTAATGGAGATATGAAAGATCTTAGAGAATATGCATTTAAACCTCATAAAGTCAAAGACAAGCATCTCAAGAACGAGATCAAGAAACTCAATGAGAAATATGACAAAGAGCTTGAGAAGATGAAGAAGGAAGAAGATGAGGACAAGAAGAATCAAATTGAAGAGATCAAGAACAGATATAAGAAGGATGATAATCTGCTTGAGAAGCAACTTGACGATTATAGAGATAATCTTGAAAAATTTAAGCAGCACAACAAGAATTTCATGGCCAACCAGCTTTCTAGAGAGAAAGAAAAGCTTGGAAACGAGCTCACTGAAGATGAGAAGGCATTACTGATGGCTAAATACGAGAGAAAGATGGCTAACCTCAACAAGGCACTTGAAAAGGAACATGATAGACAAATGAAGGATCACAGTTCTCAACTAAGAGAAAAGCAGAAAGAAATAGATAACAGAAGAAGAGAAAGAGAGATTTTGCTTAACAATTTGTCTATGTACAAAGAATCCAGGGCCAAACAGATTGCATATGAGGATAACTTTGACAAGCTAGCTGCTTTAATGGAAGAAGATTTAGAACTAATTGATCAAGAAGCATATTCTGGACCAAGGATGCAAATCTACGATCTTATTAAATTCAAACGTGAATCAGATGAATACCTTGATGTTCTTAGAGGAGATGTGGGGCTCCTTGACAGAGTTAAGAGAATTGAGAATCACGTCCAAAGCATCGAAAACAGCTACAAGAGCAAAAAGAAGACTGAAGAAAGAGCTCAAAAAGAGCAATAAACCCGCTGTCATGCAAGTATTAGTTCATAATCTTGGAGTATTGGCCTTTAATGTGCTATATAAATCTCCCAAGTTGCACATCTTGACTGATGCAGACTTGTTGATTTAGAACACTAAAAATACTTGCTTTCATATTCATTTACTTTACTTTTACAAGTTCACAAAATTCTTATTAATTTTAACCTCAACTTCTGAGGCTTAGTTTGGGGTTTTGGGGTTTTGGGGTTTTGGGGTTTTGGGG